CGGAACCAACTGGCTGCTTGTTAAATTAAATACAACCCATATTTCATCACAAAACATTAACAATGCATTAACCAGAAATTTTTCAAATTATAAAATTGATGATTTTGTTAATGGCCTTTGAAATCATGGGAGAATATTTTGACCTGCAATGATGTAAATCAGGCATATCAAAATTTTAGCCAGACATTTCTCAGAGTCTCAAGAAAACATGCACCATTAAAACCGAGGGGTAAAGGTAAATGTAGAAGTAAAGACAAGCCTTGGATAACTAAATCAATTAGAAAGTCGATTAAAAGAAAACATGCACTTTATAATAAACTTGTCAGCAATAATTTTAGTGAACCATTACACACTCATTTTAAAAAATATAGAAATATTCTTACGAAAATACTAAAAAAAGCAAAAAAACCACACTACACAACTGTTTTCATTGCGATGTTGTTGTACAATCTTTTTGCTTGGATTTTGATGGGAAATCGACATGATTTGTTTTTAAATTAAAAAAATTAGTTGTTTTCAAAAGATAAACTGAGCATTTGAAGAATAATTTAACATTGTTTCCAGCGATAACAGCTCATTGTCAAAACGAAGCTATCCATTCACACTAGTCTCAATAAACATCAATACTCTTGAATATGCGTCATTGACTACGGCTAAACTTTTATGCATCAGAAAAGATTAAAATAACACCTTAAAAAACTGCCGAAAAATCTGCGATTTCTTGGTCCCATTTTATTGTTTTTAACCCGAACTGTTGTTTAACGGCCCTGGGCCAATTTGGCAGAATCCGATATTAGTGCTGTAATTCACGCTGGTGGGGGAATAGGTGACAAAGGTCAAATTCAATTTTCATGACGTGATTTTGAAACGAATAAATGTTCTGGTTATCTCTGGTGCGACTGCAGTCTTTGGAACAAACTTGGGTGACTCTAAAATGCAATTTATGGTACGCGACTTAAAAACGTAATTTAATGCATGTGAATTTCCCAACAAAGGTTTAAATGTTTTAGTTGTCTGTGGTGTGACACTGGTGTCGAATAAAATGGCGACAACCTTCAAATGCATTATTATGCTAATTTGAAATGAAAAATTTCTTGGAGATAACTACGTGAATTTGAACCAAAATCTTATCGGCAAGACTCAGAGTACGACAGTGACAGCCACTGAAACGTTATTGAAGTTAAATGAACAAGTCAGGCAAAAAAGACTGTTTCAAGTCGTAGCGTAAAATGGAAGCACAAAACATTTTGACTCTTGAGGGGAATGAAAATCAGTTGATTTGAGGGTGTCACAATAATTAGAAAGGGAGTAAATCGTTGTTATGCTACGAAAAAATGCAGACTTTTTGGACTTTAGTACTACGTCATTTTTGACTCCCATGTGGGAAGCACAAAATGGGAGTCTTTGCAGTTAGTGTGTCTGTATGTGTGTGTGTGTGTG